AAAAGTCAAAAGTTTGACTTGAAAAACAGAGCTACTTCAAAAGCATTGTCAAACAGAGGTGAAGGTTTCTTAAAAATGCATAAATTAAAGAATAGTGTATTCATAAATATCCCTGTAACTTTACACAGTATATTTGTGATGTGGGTTCACATATAGAGGTGAACAGACAGCGTCGTTAGAAAACTAACAAATAAAATAGAAAATCAATTTGTTTATTAGTTACAGTTTGGACTCCGTGTATGTGTGCATGCGTGTGGAAAAAATGAAAGAAAAATGGAGAGTTTTTTTCAATAATAAAAAGGGAGTTGCACTGCAGGGCCCCTAAAGCTTGTGAAAAATTAAACTCGACGGATTCAAACTGTCCTATTTCCACTTCAAAAGAGAAGAGGCACTGAGCTCTTCCCAACTTATCTTCAAACGCCCAGCACCCTAGAAAGTTTCTTTAAAAAAATAAAGTCTCTAGTTCCCCCAAGCACTGTACCCGTTACTGTAGCTGCTGTCTCTCCCTCTTCTAATTATACCCATGTGAGTCTATTAATCAACTTGTAAATTATTTAGAGAGCCATGCGCTGTCTTCAGCTAGTACAAACACACTGCATGCAAAGACTTGCTGAAAACCAACGGAGCTCCCAAAGGGTCTCTGCAATGTTCAGACAGCTTGCAGCTCGCCAGTACAGCGCTCTTAAAAACAAGAAATAACACTAAGCTTACCTCCTCAGATGGAAAGATTTACCCAGCCTTTCAACTCTGAAACTCTCGGCAAGTTTTTAACAAAGAGGAAGCTACTCTATTGTCAAACCTTTACTTCACACTTAGTGATGAGAATATTAATTTGATGTCAAAAATAAAATAAAATAAAAAACACACAAGTGCTGCAGTGAGGCTGTGATCACAATCGCCAAGGGAGCCTAACTTTCAGAGGCTGCACCAAAAAGCACCCCTTTAAAACTGTTTCAATTTAAAATAAGGGGGATATCTACATTTGTTTGGTAATAGTTTTTAGGAGAAAATAGAAGAAATTAGGGAATTCCAGATTTTACCGCCCACATGCAGAATGCCACTGGGGACAGCTTCAGACATTACTACTTAAAAAAAAAAATAAATAAAATAAATAAAAACAGAAAAAGGAAGGGGGAAAAAACAACATGGATTGTGTGTGCTCAGCTCTAACCGGCTGCGAACAGTGGGATGTTACCTCTCTTCTGTGAATCAGCTCTCTCTACCACCTGAATCTTCATTTTGGTGAAGAAAACCATTACCCAAACTAATAGCACCTCTCCCCACTGAAAAGCGGAATCTTCCTGTTTGGGTAACACAACACACACACACACACACAGAGACACTTCCATGGTGGTTTTCTGTCCTTTCATTTTTCCTGGCTCCATTTACTGCAGCTTTGCAAAAAGGTGTATTAATTAGTATTAATCGCTTCATGCTACTTCACCATGAAGACCTGTGGAGTTCAACACAATGACCTGCAGATTTCACGTGGCTGATAATGTGTCCTATTCTTACGATGACCCTAGGGCTAAAACGACCCCAGGGCCAAAATGCTGCCACTTGTATTTTCATTAATAAAATGGAAACATCTCATGGGGCAAATGGCAGGGACTTAAAAACAAATAAACAAAGAAAAAATGCTTCTTGCAGTTTGTATTCTCCTGTGGTATCAAATTCTAATGGACATCTTACAACCGGCAATGATGGATACTGCAGATGCAGCATTAAATTAACATGGGCCCGTGATCTCAGTGGCACGGCCCAGGATGCAGCCCAGCGCTCCTCAGAATTCCCTGGATCCAGGGACACAAACTTGACAGAAAGGTTCTCATCAAGCCGATGGGTCTGAGGCTGGGCTGCCCACAGCTGCATCATTTATCCACACCCTGAAATACTGGGAAGGGAGGACCAGTCTGGAGAACAGCCTCTTAACAGCATTTCAGAAGGAATCCAATTGAATGGATCGATTTGCATCAGGTCTCTCGGGGCCTGCAGGGTTTTTGGCCACTGAACCAGCTTCTTGCTCGAAATAAGGGTCCTTTTAGGCTGCCCTTGCAAACAGAACATGATAAATCTGTCCATGGCATGGACACTACTGAGCAAGAGGCAGAATGACAGTAGAAATCAGAGGGACACTACTGAGCAAGAGGCAGAATGAGAATAGAAATCAGCAGAATTTAACATGGTAAACCACCACCAAACTTCATTTTTTTTGCTCAGAGTAGGCTCAGCAATAACTGCCCTGAACTTAGTGGAAACCACACAGCATCCTCAAGGAAAAGCCATTTCATTGCCCAAAGATGACCTCTGCATTCTCAGTGCTCACAGAAAGCAGTCAGGAGGTTGAATTTTTCACTGAAAATATATTTTAAATATATGTATATATATTTAAATATACCAACTGTAGAATAGGATGGCCTCGGAATTTAAAAATTAATGGGCTCAAGGCCATCTACATTGCTTTCATTAAGCAAAATGAATCACCCTTACTCAAAATGGAGGAGTTTGATGGAGCAAGTGCTAGGATCTTCAGGAGATGGGGATCACTAGAAAATGGGAATGCTCTGAGTTTCCTTCTGTGGTGAATAACAGAACTGGCTGGGCTCTTCTTGAGATGTAGTCAATATAAAGAAGCCATACAGGAAAAAAACAACAATAAAAAAAAGAAAAAGAAAAAGAAAAACCCCAAAGATTGTTTGTGAATCCTAAAATCTAGAAATCCAAGTAAGTCAACCAGAACTAAAACAGATAGGGGACAGCTGCAATAACTCAATAAAAAATTAGCTCTGACTAAGCTCGTTTTTCTGCCTTTTTATGACACCACAACATATCATGTTGGCATATCCTAAGTGACTCTAACTATATGCAATCAGCTGTGCCAACAGGAAGGGAAACCATACTGAGATCAGTCCCCAGGGCAATCCTTTTAAGAATATATGAGGCATCCCTCAAGCTTTTGTGACACTAGGTTGATTTTGACTGCTGATAATTTGATTAATGTTTCTCATGGTCTGTCCTTGGTCCTGGCATACTGCACTGTGATGATACCACCCGCACGACTCCTTGCCCAGAGGAAGGACTGAGCCTGCTTGGTACATAACTAGAAATGCAATGAAATTTTTCATCAAGTCGTAACTGCTTTTCCAGTTATAAACATTGTAACCAGCTAAATTAGCTCCATTCAAATATGATTTTCTTGAGACTGGATGCAGTCAATAATAATGCAAGAATCTCTTAATATAATCTGTAATAATGCAATCTCTGCTTTAATCTTATTGTGATTGTACCAAGACAACAAAACTCTTTGCCCATCTTTCCTCCTCACTACACTACATTCTTTCATTTTCTCCAAGGCTTTTTGCGAGGGCAGTAATGAATTCTTGTTAGTGTTTACTAATGTAAATTCATTCTTTGTTATCCCTGGGAGAGGGGGATTAGCAAAATGACAGAACTTATTATTTCTAGTATTGCTATATAATATTTATTTTTATTCAGCCCTTAATTTTGTAGCATGTCCCACCAAATAAAATATATGTGCATATAAACAAAAACCAAGCAAAATTTTTTTAGCACAATGCACAGAAATATAGTTATGACTCCCATTAATGTTCAGATGCACTGTACAGCTTTATTCTTGCATGTTACATTAAAAAAGTCATCTAAATTTGAAATAATTTCTAATTTGGGGAAGGCATTACTTCTCCAATTCCATTTTCCTGAAGTGAAAATAGCTCCTTTGGACTGGGGATAAGTATATTTTTAGGACTGGATAAACATTACAGTCTGTGAAATTATTTCACCCTACTGGGAACACTTCCAGTACCTCCTGTAAGGAACCTTAATAGCTAAAGTGAAATTTGTAAAATACACACAGAGCACATGAGCTCTTAAAGGGCTTATCTTTGAAAATGTAGATCATCCAAACCCCCATCTCAGCCATAACTGCAGTCAAGAGAGGGAGGTGTTTACAGTGTCTGTTCTCTGCTACATTCAGGTCAAGCAGACTACGCATATTCCAAAGTTATTCCCATATATAAAAGCCTGGCATATATTGTGACTAATATACGCTCAGATCTCTTGCCTTTACCTACGTAGGCACTGTTGCTGCCAGAATCTCTAAATTAAATCTTCCTGGAGGCCTCTCCTAAAAACAGCAGCCAGAAGCTAGGAACCCATGAGCGAATGGAACCTATAGGTGCTCAGGTCCAGCCCCTCGTTGTTCTCTGTGCTCTCGTCCAGGCTGGACAGAGCCACAAAACAAACATTATTCCACCCTGCTGAAAGGCAACCTTTCCTGCAGAACTACATATATATATATTTTTTTTTTCTATTTAATATGTACCACATATAGAGAGCCATCCTTGTTCAAGACAAATAACAAACACGTAAGTTTAAATTGTTGCCCTGAGGAGCTTACAGTATTTATGATTCATCTCAAATCACTGGAGAGGCTTCCAAAAGCAATGTGTGCTTAGGTATTCTCTGTGGTAGTCCCCTCCAACCACCAAAAATGCTGATGGAAACAAAATATTCAGAAAGTTTGTTTGTAAGTCAAAAAGCTTATGTGAAAATTGATTAATCTCTGGTACATTTTATAAGATAAAATGTACATATAAAGGCAGTCGGTCTTTATTATAGTCTACTTGAAACTAAAATCAAAATGAAGGATGGTATTATGCTTTAAAAACAGTTTAAACTTTTTTTAAGTGTACATATATATATATATTAGAATTCTGATTTTTGATATAGAGATGAAAAAGCTTGGAATTCAGACTTTGGGATGTGTGGAAAAAAAAAAACTATTTCATTTAACAGTGAGCTCTTCGTTATGAAGAAATCAGAGAGCTAAAAACATCTAACTTACATCTAATGAAATGGAATTAATCAGCTTTCTGACTACTGTAACTTGATTAGACTCTGACCAAGAAAATTTCACTCACAATGTATTTTTCTCCCACAACTCTTAAAATCCAGTGCAATGAAACACCAACATGCCCTACCTGGGCGGTCATTGTCAAAATAAGTCTTAACGAGTTCTCCAAGTTTTGTCTTCTCTGCAACAGCTTCCTTTAGCAGTTGCCCACAGCAAACTAAGAGGAAGGAAGAACAAAAAGATACAAGGTTAAATTTTAAAAAGGCAGCAAGAAAGAAAAGAAAAAAAACCCCACACAACAGAAGCTGCATACTGAAATAAGGTCACTGAATAAAATAAAAGTTGTAGGTTTTTGGGTTTGTTGATGCGATTTTTTTTTGGCCAAGCAGAGCAAAAAGCAGAGAGACTGAGCAGGGGAGAATACTGAATAAAAAAGAATACATTTGGCAAAGAACATATTAAAAACAGAGAGAGAAAGAGGCTAATCAAATATGTTACTGAAATAATAACTCAAGGGACTGCTAGTGGTTTTCACTTTTTATAAACTTTTAATTACTGAATACAGTTACACCTGCTTTTTTTTAACAGCAGCAGAACTGCACTGTTGGAGGTGCAGGATAATACGTGGTTCAAGGAAGTGACTCCCTGGATCATTTAATGATCATGTAAGAATTATATTTAAAAAAACTGTGCTAATGCAATATTATCATTGAGTTCAAATACATAGAACACCAGGATATCTAGATTTAAAGTTCCAGACAGGACAATTATGCATCAACTAATGCTATTTTGGTACTGTATAGCACTGTTTGAATACACGAACTTATTAAATCTTACTGGCCATATGAGTTAGATACAATAGTATTCATCCTCATCTTACAAATAACGAATTAAGGCATGAAGGGGTTACGTAGCATCACAAGAGGCACCAAGAGTTTGCACAACATCACAAAGTCCTAATTCCAACTCGATTTTGCTTAATTTTTGGTAACTATAACACTGTATATTATTGCATGGCATTTCAATTAATAATCATAAATTCATTTCACCCTTTCTGAAATAATCTGTTTTATCACATTGTCCAGCACGCAGACTAAGAATAAACTACTGGAACATTTCTTGACAAAGTTGACCAAGTTTAGTACTGAAGTGACAGGGAATGAACACAAATATTAATGGTCACTATTTGCCCCACAGAGGCAAATTCACCTTCCCAGAAAACAGTCTAAATATGTAACAGAAATTGTGTATAGATCCCAACTTAGGACAACAAACATGTATATTGCTTAAATTCAATCCAATTTGTGAAAAGATTTAAATGTAGGATTAAACTTTTAAGCTGTTTCACTCCCAAAGGCCTAACCAGAAATTAAGCATATGCTGAAGTACTCTTCTAAAAAGGATGGCCTTCCAGCTCTGTTTTAAATATTAATTCCTGTAATAATTGGTTTAGAGTAATATTTACAATGAAATTCACCGTATGGATGAAGTAGCGGTAACGGAATTTAGTAAGGAGAGCAGCAGCTGTTTTATATAATAGTTGCTTAAAGAAAATAAAATGCAAATTTTGACCTAGATGAAAACACTACATCAAACTTAGCTTTAGAAAAATAGTTCAGGAAAGGTATTCAGAAACACAAGAGAAAAGTAATCTTTAACACGGCTAACAGTTTTCTTTAACACGTTACAGTAGACACATTTCATTTTTAATTATGCCAATTATATAATACTTAAAAATACAGCTTTGAAAAAAATCTCTAAAAATCTTTAATTTTTAATGTGATGATAAAATACTGCAATATTAAAACATCTGATATCATAAAAGTTCTATCAGTTTTATTTGTAGTTTTCAGTATTTTAATATAGATTAAAATCATATAAATTTATCCTTTTCAAGTATACTGAATATTTTAGTCATTCAGTATTTTTGAAGCATATGAATAATGATAAACACTTAAGAACACAAAAATACGAAACCTAGACTCCTGAATGATAGATAGACAACCAGTTTCAGAATTGTTTCCATGCCTTTAGTGGCACTACCAAAACTAAATACGTAACCATTAAGCAGCAATGATTGTATGGAAAGTATATACCCCTTTTTGAAGGTTTGAAGTTTGAAATTAAAAATTATTTCTTTTCTGAGCACCTCTACTAAAGAGGTGACTGGAAACAATACAGCTTGCAACTTTAAGTTACTATTCACTTGGAAAGCCAAATCCAAGTTCAGTGAATTCTTTGGCTTGACTTCCCCGGGAGCTCAGGAAGAACACAGAAGGACGGGCTACACACTATGGACAGAATTAGTTCCATTAATTAAAGAAGTCTCCCATCACATAAAGAGTACTATCTATTTAATTCTTATTTTTCTCATTTGATATGCAGTGGAGGAATGCTGATTTACTTAACAAAGAGGACATTGCTAATCATCAAATTTTACAGAAACCAGACATTTACTTAAAATAATTCATGGCTACTCCAATACTAGAAGGAATTACAGAACACAAACACAAACTGCACTGATCCTAGCAGCCTCCTGGGTGTTAATATTATAGCACTTTAACATCAGCACGTACCAACATGATCAAGCCTCATCCAGCATTTTCTGGGCCTCCCTTATGAAAAAAATTAGAATGTACATTTTGATAATTGTGTCCTTTTCCAGTGTGTTGCCTTTGAAGCATGGAATCCAAGAGGCTTCCTCATAGTTCACAGCAAATTCTCTCTTAAAAGTGCCTCAATTTTGGCAAGACAGATGAAGCTCCGAAGACATTATTTGTGATCCACTGATACAATGAAGAATTCAGAGCACAACAAGAATGTAACACATGAAAAACTACTGATCTACAGAGTATAAAAGATGAGGACTAAAAAAATGTTAAAGCTGGTTTGTCACCAAATATATGTTTTATTGGTTTATATTTCTTCATTGAAATACTTTTCAGACCCCTCAAAAATTTGACATCCACAGTGATGGCCTAACAGAGAAATTTTACGTGCAAGAAAGAAAGACAGCAAAAGATAAATGATCAAAAAGAAAGAAAAGGGGGAATTGAGCAAAGTGCATATTTACTGAGAACTTACTGTTGACAATGCTGTATTTCTGAGCTATTAGTGCTGCCTGCAGGCGCTTCCCACTGCCTGGGGGTCCACAAAAGAGAATCCGTGGTGTGAAGGGGGCAGCCGATCGGTGCCGGGTTTGGACATAGGTGAGAGCTAGAATGTGGCAGGAAGACAGGAAATGCAGTTTATAACAGATTGCCCGTTTTTAAGGGGAAAAAAGATACACATTGATTAACTTCTCTTTCTTTAAAGGTGGTTCTTAAGATTATAATTTATTTTACCACTGAAGTATCTTGAGACTCCAACCAAAATCAGGACTCTGAACGCTGCCTGAGGAGCTTGGAGAACCTAACACGCTCTGGGATCCTGCACAGCTCAGTCCAGCCCCACAAGCTGTGCTGGGATACTACACATACAATGGACTCTCAGGTCCCTTATCCTAGCATCAATCAGTAATCCCATTAAAATCTGAGAGATTTCAAACATTATATCTGTATCAAACAATCCATTATCATGTTAATATAGATGCTCTCTCTTAATTGTTTTTAATCTCTTATCTATAGCAGCAAAAATGCGTTAAAAAACTGGAAATCACAACAGTATAGTCTGCTGGCTGCATAACTTCTCCAAAAACAAGTATCAGCTAACCAAGGAGTGCTCTAGTTATTCTGAATATTTTCCATAACCCAGTGTATTGAAAAGCACAAACATTACAGGCAAAGCACCCTGCTTACAAATGATGCTTAATTTGCAGTAAATAACCAAGTTAATTAGGAGTAATGATCCCCTAGACAGTCTCCACATCTAATTATTCTTAAAAAAAAAAAAAAAAGAAAAAGAAAAAGCTGGCTGCTTGATGCACTGCAGGAAAAAGATCTAGAGAGGATTTTTTCATTCCAATTTTCAATTTATCTCACTACATTATTAATTAATAATAATTAATATTCAGGCACATTTTTATTTACAATTCAAGGCATGAATTCTTTATGAATGATGATATGAACTTTTAAATTTAATTAAGTAATTTAGAGGTAATTAATGTGTAAATTCAGATTATAAACTTCCTACTTGTTTATCTTAAAAGTGCAGCACTCGTCATTAAAAAAAGACCTTTTTGAGATGCAAAATTACTGAGATAGATCATCCACAGACTGACAGCTACAAAGCATATTATCAATTGGTCTTTCTGGCAGTTTACTTATTTTATTCTTGAAGAACCGACATTAAAAGTCAGACTGCATTAAAGTCAAGCAAAGGCAAACAGGAACTGTTGAAAAGGAAAGCTACCACCACAGAGAGTTTTTAAATGAAATGTTACCAGCTTTGAACTACTCCTACATCTTGTCATCAGACTTGTGGAAGGTACTAGCCATGAGGGGGGATTAAGACTAGAGCCACAGTGTAGCTTTTTAGGAGCATCTCTCACAGAAGTAATGGTGACATTTACTCTACTGACTCAACTATCCCTTGTTAGGACTGTCAGACTAAGACTTATCGCATTTAGTCTAGTCCTGTAAAAGAATTACCAGGAACAGCCCAGACTCTGCATTAGAAAGGTCACAGCTCAGCTGGGAGCCCTGAGTCTTGACTAAGCCTATTCTTATGAACCATTTCTAAAGCCTAGGAACTGCCTTTCAGATAAGAGTTTATCAACTAACCAATTTGCCATAAAGCTGTATATTTACCCTGTGATACAACATCCACACAAGGCTGGTCTGCATTGATTGATTTCAGAACTTTTTGGTAGGCTTGGAAGACTCCAGGAAAGCTTCTATGATACCGCAGCAGCTTCCTGGATATCTCTTGTTCAGACGCATCCTCTGGTTTCACCAGGCGCTGCTGCACTCGAGGGTCGCGCGGCCAGTCGAAGGTGGTGTGGAACACCTCTAGAAGGCAGCCACGGATTAGGGACCAAGAGAGTGATTTAACAGGTCTTGTCCAATTTCAAAGCCTTTCTAACCAATATCCTGTTTATGTTTAAGCCTTACGTTGTGGCACAAGTGATAATCTGTGCAGGCCCGATACCAAGCTTTACATTTCCGTGTACTTTACAGTCACATAAAATAAAATACTGCTGACATACACCTTCTCCAAACAGTTTATAAACTCCTACTGTTTCTTGGAGAGGTACCATTTAAATGTTAATCCCATTGATATTGTGGTGTTTTGGTTAGTTACTTGCTTTATTTCCTGTAACTGTTTAGATGAATGCTAGTAGTAAGGACGGATGAAAGTATTTCGACCACATTCATCTCCATTTGTCTCGTTGTATTAATTTCCCATTATTTTACCTGCAAATGCTGGATTTTACTTTTAATCAGAAAGTATATTGAAAGAAAGTATTCATCAATAATAAACAGTTCAGAACTCCGAAGTACTGACCCAGTCATCCATAGGAACTAACAAGCCATAGTTACACTCTGACTGGATGGAGTCCAAGCCAGAAGTCTAGGTTAGAAGCATCTGCAGGTCACTCGGTCTTATTCTCCTCTACCCCACAAGCAATTACTTCTCACCCAGATACTTCTGTAGTGAGACCAGTGAACATTTTTGGTTAACTTCACAGATAAGTGTCCGTGCTGGACTGAAAAGCATCAAAAGATGGAGAATCTATCACTTCCCTGGATTGTTTTTACTCTAATCATCCTCACAGTTAATTCAGTAATTTAATTTCTCTTTTCAATGTATTTGATTACAGGCTTCAGACACAGGATCTTTTTATGACTTTCTCCACCATATCAAACAGCTCTTTCAGGCACTTTTCTCCCTATTAAGGTACTCATATACTGTAAATTATATCTCTTCTCAATCTTCTTTTTGATTAACTAGACAGACTGCACGTTAAGATTCTCATTCAGGTCTTGGTCGCAGAGATAAAATTGTGAGCAAAACTTGACTTCAGATGTTATTAGCTATATGAAAAATACATGCAAGTACTAGACATTAAACATTTTTTCCTAACTCTATTGCAGTGATTCTGAATTCCTCATTAATAGTGGAATATCATCCAAATCAAATCCAAAGTGACAATTCATCAAGTTCACTAACACTTTGGCAAGTTCATGATCTACTTGCAAGCTCTACCTTTATCATTCTATGCTGCATTCCACCCAACTGTAATTGTTTCTTATGTTGCACATAGGTTTTCTAACTATTAATTTGGGACAACTGGCTGTTCTAATTGGTGAAGGCAGCTGTCAAGGTCCTGTCTATCAGCACTTTGCCACTGAAGAAATGTTCCTCAAATTAAGCCACACTCCGTCCATATTCAGGAGACTCAAGCTTAAAAAACAAGATGTTTCTATTTCACTTGGTGGAGAAATAGAAGCAAAATAGAAGCAAAACTGTGGATAGAGGCAAAACTGTGTCTAACTGCTCTGAGACACTTGCTGGAGTGGTCTTGAATTTACAGAACTCTGTGTAAGAAGACAAGGGTTTACATGAAAAAAGACACGATTTAAAGTCTCCTAGGTTAACAGAAGTCCTTCAGTGAATCTGAACCATTCTGAAACACCATTTTACTGTCTACTGATTCTGGTGTCTTAGAGATATGTCCTAAAATTATTATTTAGGATGTTTGGGTAAAAATGCTTCTAGGCTTTCAGCTCCTGGACACAATCACACATTAGCCTTGCACTGCTTACCAACGTGCGTAGGAATGACGCCAGATGACTGCAGCATCCATGCCTGTTCCTGGTTTTCAGGGAAGCCTTCCAAAATCCAACCCTATTGAATAAAACCATGAACCAGTTGTTGATTCTGGAACAGGAAATACACAGGGGGGAAAAAAAAGGATGTTTATGACAGAAAAAAGCAAACAGAAGAGTGATATATCTGTGAACTGGCACTAATAACATTACCACAATGTAAAGAACATTTATGTATTGTAGCAGTGATTTTTTTCCCATATTTTCAACCTTAAACTTCTCTCTTAAATAAAAACAACCCAAAACAATTTCTGTGGTTTTGAAATATTTAAAAGGATACCAGCCTACACTGTGTATAAAAAAAAGAAAAAAAAATAGAGGCTAAACAAATCTAAAGACAGATTTAATGCCAAGAACAGTGAGGAAAATATGCATGCTTTCATTATTTTCTTAAATTATACAGGAAAACTCACAGTAATGGAACCAGCATTCCCAAAGCTAATGAAGCAACAGAGCAAAAGAAAGAAAAAAGAAAAAAAGAGCCTTTTGCTCCCTTAAGTCCTTGTTATAGCCAGCTAAGTGTTGGATTGAGCATCTTTAAAAAAACATTTACAGAGCTGTGAAATACCGTAGGAGTGCTGCAGCCTCACTCAGTGTCTGTGTGATGCAGTATTTGAAATCTAATCTGCTTACCACTCCTGAGTCTGAATTTTCTGAACTTTGCCAAATTTTTCTCTTAGTTGCTTAACTACACAGGCCCTTGTCACCATATCCTATACCCCAAAATACCTTTGTGATACTATAATAAATCTGAAAGGTCATCTTTGTATTAAAAAAAAGAAGATATTTTAATATTGCATTAGCTAGCAATCATTATCATCTCCCATATAAATTAGAAGCTCTGTCAGTATGGGGTCCAAAGGTTTTAGAAGTATTTCAGGGAAACATATCCCCATGACTTCTGTAAGAGGAAATTGGGACATTCCAATTATACAAGAAAATAGAGTAGACTACTTAAAATTCCTTAATTAGCCTGGTTTCAGGAACATGTCATCTTGGCTGGTATCTGTAGAAAATAAGAGACTCAAGTAACTGCAAGACATTTTTGCCACTCCTGGTGTTTGCTTTATCAAATTAGGATGAACCACTGTCTAAGGTCACACAGGTGCTAAGAAATCAATTTATCCATTGGGACTTGCAGGAGAGAGGCAAGGCTGCACAATATTTTTAGCAGTGTGCTAGGAATTTCGAACTGGTTGTGAATATCTTGTATTTGTACAACATATACATAGATCCTCTTCTAGGGAGAAATGGCTGGAGAGCCCTGAAGCCAACAGATCTATGCCAATTTACACAGACTACAAATCTGGCTCATTTTCTCTACTCCAATGCAATACTTTTGGAAACTAAAAATACAGCCTTTTCCTTCTGGTGTAAATATACTTACAGCTCAGAAGCAAATACTAAGCAACAGGCAGCAAACACAGAAGATGCTCTTTAAACAACACATAGCAAACTTCATGATGCTTATGCACAAATTTCAAAGGTCCTTAGAGGCCATATGCAATTTTAAAGCTAAAAGTTTTTGCAATGTAGGAAATCACAGCTCAATAAATAGCTTCTTGCAACAGATAATTTTTAAACAAATACATAATAAGTAAACACTACAAAAATAGCTAGCATTTTGGATCTTATATCCAACGGACTCCGAGTTCCAAGGTATCAGTCAATCCCTAATTAGAATACATTATCCATCTACTTGACAGTTCAGTGAAATGTCTATTCCAGCACAGAGCTGCAGCTTTGTTCAGAACAGGTTTATTGATATTCTGATGCATTCCCTCTCCATACCCCCAGTGGCTTGGTTCTGTTTTATCACACATCAAAAAGGCCGTATGCTCAGGGCACCCCATGCACAGCTCAGAGCTGGAGGTCTGAACAGCTGCAAGTAGTGTGGTATCACAGGAGGGACAAGCTCCAAGCAGATGTCACTGATATAAAAAAAAATGGAAGGGAAAAAAAAGAGTAAAAAGGGGGAGAGCAGCTTGGGAACTAAGCAAGAGGAAGCAAGACACAGCAGAGCAAGACCTGACTTAAAATATGCCTATCATGCTTTATGCAAACACTGCTCTTTTCTGCCCTCCTGCCTGTCATTAAAGTGTAATTAGTAACTTCACATGGTGAGAATTTGTTTCTTTTAGAAGCTATCCATTTTTTTGTTCTTGATAGCAGTAACCTTACAACCATGCATGGATGGCATCTTATCACATCAAGGCTAGAATGAAGGCAAAAAGTCTGAAATTCTACGGCACCTTATTCTGTGGTCACTATTCCCTCTCCTTGAGCTGGAACCTCAGTCCTTTCCCACATCACAACTGCTATAAACACAGTACTCTGCTCTTGCCTTAATGCCAGGTGAAGTGCTCCTTGGAGACCCACGGCACACTGAAAATCAGCAACGGGGAAGTACTTTCAAACCCATCACTTTCCTCTCCAAATTTAAGGAACCTGGAGGAAAGGAAAACCTCCAGGTCGTTCCCAAACATAAATCTCTTTCCTTTGCAGGCGTGCTCTCAGCTGTAACACCAAATCTGTGTTCTGTCAACTTTCCACCTCAATAATAATGACTTGGATATTCAGTTCTCTCTTGTTATTTGACCTGCACAGCTGCAGGATTTGTTACAAAATCCAAAATTGACTCTGCCTTAGACTAATGCAGCTATATTGATGAAACTGCTGTCCTTGTAAGAGGCACGGAGACAACATGATGATCTCTGTACAAACCTCAAAGCAACCAATAGCCACTGCATTCTTGTCCCTCCTGTTGAATGGCAGCCTGCCTCTGAATTGTTTAGTATCAGTCAGAAGTAAATCTGCCCTTGAGTTCATATGACTCACTGGCCTAGGCTTAATTTCCAAATCTCTCCAAAATGTGAATAAGGTTGCTCAGCTGTAGCTGTCCCCCTCATCTAGCAAACTCCCCACTGGCTTTCCCCAGTTCTACAAATTCCCTCCACAACTGCAGCAGCACCAACAGGCAAATCAAGAATCTTCCTATGAGCTGCCCAAGTCCCAGGTTCTAACAATGCTCGCACGACGTTCCCTGCGGATGCTGGAAGCCCTACCCGTGTGATCCTGCCGGCCTAACCACATTTGTATTGGAGGAACACACAGCACTGTCTCAGAAGAGCTGTTGATCAATAAAAATGCTCTCCTTGGAGGATGTCAGTGACATCCATAAACCTGTGAGTGTCAAAACAATGGCACAAAAATTCTGCATTCCTACTGTCAGTGGGATGAAAGCTGTGCAATTAATGCCAAGCCAATGACACCACAAGGAGAAATAAAACAAACAGCTTGTGGTCCTATGGTCCAACAGACTGTTCCTAATCTCTTTACATTTTCAGTTAAAAATGCTGACTCATGATTTGAGTGAGATGGCATAAATTTGGGCACTGAAGTACAAAATCTGCAGGACTGAATTCATTAACACTCATAGTAGAATGCTGCAATTAAAATGCATAGATCCTCTTCAAGTGGAGACGATGCACAATTTGGGGTCATTTGAGTGGCCCTGAATTCCTGTCTACTAATAAAAGGACTTTCAATCAACTATCACAACTTTGGGCAAGCCAATAATGCATCTTTCCTAAAAAGAAGCTGCAATCCTTTCTACACTAATAATGCACACTCCAATCCTGCTCAGTATCGGGGCAGTTTTCTAAAGGAAGCTTTTATTTCCCCTGCTGTTCTGTAACATGCACTGGTTCAGTGCTGCCGGTGGTAATGGTAGGAACATAAAATGCAGGCAGCTGTTGTCATTTAAACTATCTTGTCACTTTATTTGGAGTTTATAGGACTTAAAAACACAGACACTGAGAGATCCTTCACTCACTGCTATAAGGAGAGCAAGAACAATGCCAGCAATAGAATAAATAGGGCAAAAAAAAAGCATTGGGGGATGTAGCCTTTGGAGACTCGCAGATTTTGCCCACTGGTGGTTACTAAAACTTTAACAGTATCACAAAGAACACTGGAGAAAATAAATAGCTGCTGAAAACACATCTGCTTTTAAGCACAGGAAGCGACTTACATGAGCACCTTAGAAAGATCTTATAGCTACTATTATAAAAGCCCTAAAATGAAGAGTTATTCAGCCACTTTCTAGATCATTGCAAGCGCTACCACCAAAACAACTCTCCTCCTGATAGCCCCAGAGGACAAAATCCCCCCCAAAACTACCACTTGAAAGAGCTCACTTGAGAAAATATTTAATCAAAACTATTAACAACACCAGTCAAAAGTCCAGGAGTTAGCAGTTCCACTCTTGGGTCGCCATCTTTCTTGCTTATTTTCATTTCTATGCATTTAAATATATTTTGAACGCTCTGACTGGAGAAGTTTACTGTTTACATGACCATATTGCAACGCAGCCTTTTATGACCCGGCAAGTGAACATGTTTAGCTGAGCAGGTGGATCTAAAAACAGGCATTATTTAACTGAAAAGGTTCTTCAGTTCTTCATGAATGTAATGTCTTATTTGGACTATGCATTTTTTCCCTCCCACGACGTCCTTCAACTAATGTACAATCTATATCTTGGCACTGTTTAGGCAAACATTTTTATCCACTAGATTAAGTCTCTTGCAAATAATCCATTATTATGGGCTGATTAGGGACTCAATAAACCATAACAACATTTGAGGTTTACAGAAAACACATAAAAGATTTTGCTTTCCATGAGTCCAGATATTCAAGCAACAGTAATCTATTTAAGTTCTCTTTTAGTTCTATTTGAAAAGTCTCTACTTACATTAAGTCTAAGTACAATGAAAAAAATAACAACATGGATCCATGGATGCAGCAGCCAGAACTATTCTCAGCTGTCTATTTTTGTAAGCTAGCAGTGAGGATATTAATTATTACCTAGAAGAGAATATATTTAAATGCCCAACACAGGAAAAAAAAAGACACAATGAGAAAGAGAGAAAATTGAAATGAATAACGTTAGACTTTTTCTCCTTTCATCAGGAAGAATTAAAAACTTAACTCAAGCTATTGATTTTTAGATATTTTCTGTTTATCTGCTTTGTCCACTATAACTCTGCCGGTTGCCCCAGGCAATCAACAAAGCTATGCTTGTTCAGCCTTTGATCATCTCAGTGCTATAAGATTAGCATATGCATACTCTCAGCCTCCCCTTTATCCTGTTAATAAAGCTCCAAAGTCCCTCTGCTGATGTTCAAGAAAGCAATTCGCTCCAGAGCCCCCAAAGATTTGCCCCCATTCCCTCCTCTGCTCAGGACTCGGAATGCTAACTACGATGCACGAGTTGTGTAAGTGCTTATCCAGAGGCCCTCGGAGGAGCAATTCTTACTTGTTTGATGCAGTCCACGTTTGACAGACGTTCCTGGATCAGATTGGCCCAAAGTGCGTTGGGGATTTTCTAAAGAAAGAACAAAAATAAGGCTGAATATTCACAGTAAAGTTCAAAAGGAATTTTATTAGGCAGGCATATTCCGGTTAAAGGTGAACTGAGATGTCTCCTTAAAATAAATAAATAAATTGAACTGTACAAGGCCTTAAGTCATGAGCACAATGTATCTGAGAGTTAGTAAGAGCACAAAAATCAATGTTAAGGATAAGCTAAACAAATTTCTACTTGTTAAAGCCCACATCCGACCTTACTGCACACTAACATGGAAACAGTGCCAGGCTTTGCACACCAGCTACCACCCTGGAACTCACACTTGCAAAGGGATCCATAAGAACATCCCATCCTCCAGCAATCCCTTTCACCAGAGCAAGTATCCGATCCTATGGATCCTATTCCTATGCCAACACATACAGCATTAGTAATATTAAAAGATACCATATGAGATGAGCAGAATCCCAAACACATAAACACCAAAAGTCTGATCTTCAGTAGGTTTGCTTTATAGTTTCTCTCTTCCTTCAGCCAGAAAGTTAATTTAAAATTAAAGTTAACATTAAGGTTATTTTATTTTTCTAAGCAGGGCAGAACTTGGTTAGATGAGCTCCGTGTTAGCCAGTTTGCCTGGCTGAAGTCCAAACCTTGCCCATGCCGGTCAGAGAAGCCATTAATCACTTGTCTATATCAAACCGCCTCGTCTCATTCGTTTTGCCATTATTGCCAAAACAGGGACTCAAAAAGTCCTGTGCAGATGGATTCTCTGCATTCTGTGTTGCAAAGTTGTCTTTCAACTCATACAAAAAACTTCAGACGACGCGAACAGCTACAGGCATCGCGGGTTCGCATTCACCTCTTATTCTAGCCACTCTGAAGGACACAATCCTAAGAGAGTGTTTCTTTAGATTTGCATTACACTAAAAGATGTAATTCGACATAATCAAAATGTGGCTGTGTGGAAAACTTCATAATCACCATCCTCATCAGCTCATGAAAATTTCACTAGGAGTGGCAGAAACTATTGCACAAGTCACTTTGAAGTAGACTGGAGAAAGGACGTGAGAACATGCAGCAGAGAAGAGTCCTCCGCTGGCTGCGGGACGGAGAAGGCGGTCAGGGTCAGGGGGTGGTTTTGTTTTCTTTCTCCCTACTGTCCCCCGTTCTCAGTGCCTTTCTTCCTCTCAGCCATTCATAAGGCGACATTCAAGAAAGTAACACAGAAAAAGGAGAAAAAAGGCTGTTTCTGGAAAGTCTGCAGGTCTCCTCGGGAGGTGTGTCAAAGCCTCCCGCAGCCCCTCGCCGCTGGAGCCTGGCTGGAGGCTTTGAGGCTGTCACCTTCCAAAGGTGCATCCCGCTGCTCCCAGGAACAGCGCGTGTCTTCCTCGCCTCTTTGATGTGTCATGTCAGGAGAGGCGAGCGACTGCCGGGGGTCCACTCTGCTAAGCTGTGCCAAACCAATTTAAACCAAAATTACACTAACTTCTTTTAGTGCAGTGATATTCTAAGTCCTCTCTTTTGAGCGGGGTTTATTGCACAAAAACAATCAAGGGACACAAGCAGATATTTTGGTGTGTTAGTTCCCTCTGCTCTCTGTGGTTCAATTCCAACTCTTTTATGCTCAGTTTTCCTTCTATTGAACAGTGGCCTAAAAAATCACTTTCAATAGACTAGACAAATTATGCCCTACTAATCACCTAGCAAGCATTACCTCTGACACATCCATCACCGTACAGCACATTCATATTTTCCCCTCTCAAATACACAAATATTTCACAAGCCCAATGCATAGGACATCACCTCCCAGAAATCAGTAGTAACGGACAATGAGACAGACACTGATAACAGCAGAGCTTATCAAAAGCCCTCTGAGCTTGACCTAATACTTGGGTTTAGTTAATGGAAAAAAATGCTTTTTGAAACAGCAAACTTTCTAAAAGCTGTGGCATTTTCTTATATTCAGACACATGTATATTTTGCTTTAGGCTATACGCACTGTTCTAATCCCTATTCCCATGCTGACGGAAAAAACATACTCATTCATGATTTTAAATGTTCCACATTATCCCAGAGATACCATATTTCATCTTATGTGCCTGCTCTCCTCAAAGTGATGTTTTTAGTAACCCTTTCACAAAACTGCTACACTTTTTGCTTAGACTGAGAGGGGGAACGACTTTCCGCAGATGCTCCTACTGCGAGTTTCAGACATGTTTGCTCTGGCCCAAATCATCCAAGTTGGTTTGCTTTATAGCTTGGCCCCTTGGAGAGAAAGGCAGTCAAGCTTCCAGAAATTTGGTTAGTAGTTTGAAAAATCATGAATGTTTAAGTTTAGCTTGTCTAGATAAATACACACCAAAACACTGCCCTTTTCATGTATGCACAAGGCTGGAACAGTTCCTATATTTTCCTTTTATGGTGACTTGTTCTGGAACAGACAGGATGCTGAACACGCATAGATATGGATGCCTTGGGTTTTCCTCTCTTCTGTTACATGTCTCCTCAAAAGCACAGGGATATGATGCAACTGTACAGTAGTTTTAAGTCAATAAGCAAGATGCAATCACCTTAACTGCAATTTCATATCGCTTTAGGAGTATACCCATCCTGCAAACCCACGATTACCATGGTTCTTTCAACTTCTTATTTTTTCCAGCTAGCAGGAAAAGTGAAATATGCAAAAGCTCATCATTATACTTCTCTACAGGAAAAAAACTTGGAGGTATTTTCTATTAGCATTATAATAACTAGAGATGAGGGAATAATTTGCAATGATTTATCCAAAAATGTAGCCTCTTTTTCTGCTCATGGAATATTTATTGGTAGCTCACGATGCCTCAAATTTACTGAATATTCAAAAAAAAAAAAGACTTTTTGGAAGTATTTTTACATGTGGAATGATCACACTTTGCTTTGAACATTTGATATTTAAAATTCACTACTTGAACTGTGCTCATTAGTAAGTGGCCAGGTGTGTGATAGTGAATGATTACATATCCAAATTTAAAAAGTGAGCTTTGGAGAATAATCAGGTACTTTAAATAACCCTTTCATGAATTCCTGTCCTAGTAAAACTAAAATGCTATAGCGTTCACTGGAAGTGAACCCAAAAGAGATGAAAGCACAAAAAGCAACTAAAATCTGTGAGCAAATATTAGTGGACCTTTTTCCAGCGTTTGCCCAGATCTAGTAACACTGCCCTACTGACCTAGAAAATGAACAAACTTTGGCCCTGGGGTTAATTTAGTCAGAGTAACCTTATACTCCTGAAATGGGCCTCTAACTATATTAAATTCTGTTACATGACCTTCACGACCAGACTTTCACAAACACAGACTTAGTTCAGGGTTTTTCTCTTTCCATTTATTAAATTGCTTTGGCTAGGCCCACAACTTTCTAATGCCATGGCTGTATCAAAGATTGCAAAAACAGCTGTTGTTCTCTTCCTGAACAGATATTTAAATCCTACTAGGATTTAGGATCCTATTGGGATTCAAATCCTAATGGATGCTATGTGCATTAGAGGAGTCACATTCACCACTCACTTCGGCCGAGCCAGGGGTCACTTCAAAAAAAGAGGTTTAGCCAACAACAGAAATCACTAAGGGAAAACATAGCTCATTAAGATTATATTTTGGCTGCATTTTAATTTACAGTAGAGCTTCCACTGGCGTAGAGGAAGGTAGGAGTTCCCTCCTAGTTTTAAGGAGTTACATATGAAGACTCACATTCATGTAAAAGAATAAAAAAAAGTGAGTTAATGAAGACTCCTAGCACCTAACACCTCAGAAACAAAGGTGCACTGCACAGTCCTTAAACACCACCAGACTCTCCTCTTCAGGCACTCCTTACTACCTGATTAGCCTTGACATTTTTGACTTTCATCTTCCACACCACTCGTCTTTTTAAATCAAATAAGCCCAAAAGGACAGCCTTGAAAGTGTGTCTGCATAGTCTGAAATATGTTAATAATTAGCGTAATTAAACCAAAGGGAATTTTTGTTTTAAATTCTCCTACCCTAGGTTGAAATTTATGAATCTAGTAAAACAATCTTTAATAATTAGAACAAAGATTTCAAAGCACATATTCTCAGTAAAGAAACATTTCATATTATGCCAGTCAAAAGCAAACCTTTCTGGTAGTAAGTTCAGTGAGCTCAATGAACTCTCTTCTCTCAGATCTTTAATAAATTATTTGAGGTTTCACCAATCTTCACTCTTTAATTCAATGTAATAAACACTATTCTATTTTCAGCCTAGTTTTCTATTGAAACTAAATGTATGCAATCGTATTATTTGCTCTTTCAGCAACTTCGTAACCTGTTGGCCGACTTCAACCAATTTTTCAACCAAAAAGTCTCACAGATGCAAAGCTCCTCCAACATTATGAAAATAGGGGACCAGGGAAAGGGAAGAAATTCATACTAGTAGTTTTGCCAGAAAGAGTCACCGAAGACTAGGCTGCCTCTATCACATTATCCTTGGAACTCCTTGACTTTTGGAGAAGGGAATCAGCTAAAAGGGCAGGCATCAGGACAGAGGTGCTCCCATATACTCGGGATATGCCTTCAACAAGTTAGTGCACCAAGTTATTTATATCATGCTACAGAAAAATCAAACATTCACTATTAAGTACTTCTATTGCCTTAAAAAAAAAATGTTTGTGTATGTATTTTCCAGAGCATTTTGTACTGAAGCAGACCTGAAATTAATGCTTATTTTACTGAGAGATTATCAAACATGCTGAAATAATGAACTTTGTTTAATGGAATAATGACACATTCTTTAAATTATATCATGTGTATCTGGACTTCTCTTAAATCTGTCACTCCAGTCTAAGATTAAAGTTTCCAAGACCTTCAAAACCCTTTGTCTTCCACATTTGCTCCTGAAAAACTCTGCACGTATACATGTATTAACAAATGTACAAACCACCAGATACAAGAATATTTATTCTGATCTGCTAAACTCCTAACGGTGGAAATCATGGGAGTGCCACATAATTCCTCTTCTGTGGCATGCAGAACTACTATTATTACTCCCTCTTACATACCTGCTTTCTTTTTTTATATGCCTTTGCTTCTTTTGTCAGTGGTAATGCTTCCTTGAATAACAAAGTCTCCTGAGACACACGTATGGCATCCAAGTGTTTACAAAGCCTCATTGCCTAAGGGAAGAAGAAGAAAAAATACAAGTTGAAATATTTGGAAAGAAAATGAAACATTTTCAGAATGCTACAGAAAGTCAGAGAGCATTTTACTAGCCTTCAATTTGTGTGTGTGTGACTTCAAGCGGCTTCTTTTAAAGGTATTCAAGAATGTACAACTTTGAAGAAGGCCTTTTTATCTACTAGACTATAACATGGATTTTAAAGAAGAAAGCATTCTTCCTAGCACGTATCCACTACCATCGGCCACAAACTTTCTGTGGGTCAACTTGCAGAGGCACAAATGGAACTTTAACATTTTCAATCAAGCGGTACCAGCAGATGTGGGCAAGAACTGGCCAGGCAAATGAACAAGTAACAATTTGGAAATACCACAAGAATGAACCCATTAGCCTCCCACGCCAATTAGCCCTGCTAAAACACGGTATAAGTAAGCCCAAGAAGAGTTCTGTAGCAGAACACCTGTACCACGAGCACTACCTAAGCAGGTTCTTGCAGAGCTCAGTATCCTTAGGAATGCTGCCTTCAACATGTCTTGTGCTCTTGTAGCACTTGGACAATCCCAAAAATCATTTTCTTAGGATAAGATTGCCACAAGCACTGAGCTCAGTAGAAAACGAAATGTTAAGTGGTCAGTATTGCAACACTGAAGGTAGCATACTCACAACTGTAGTTTTCCCAGAAGCAGGTGGACCAAGTATACAAATTTTTGGAGCTATGGACAAAAAAACATGAATGTGAGGATGTAGAAAAGCAGAAATCCCAACTGCTTTGGTGCTATTACACTGCATAATATAAATGTAATTACAATGAAACAATTATTTTGGCTGGAAGTCTGCTGAATGGACACTTCAGGATTGAGCTCCACTGGGGAAAAGGGTGAACAATAAGACAGCGTCAGCTGTGTCTTTCTTTAATCTCCATAGTTAATAAGATTAATACTCTAAACATGTTACTTAGGCATATATATCAATTTAAGCACATGGATAGTTTACTTGCTGAACAACAGTGTAAGATATGAACATGTCTTCATACAAGTTTGACTTTTATTCCAAAAACACTTACTTTGATTGGACATTTTCTGACCAAAAAAAAAAAAAGTTTATACCTGTAGGATAAGACTACTTAAAAAGTGACCATTTTCATACAGTCATAGAACAGTTGAGACTGGAAGGGACCTCTGGAGCTCTTCTGTTCCTTCTGTCATTCCCCTGACTCAGTAGGGTAGTAAAATAATTCTTTGACAAATCTTTTGGTTTTTGTCACAGAAAGTACAATTTCACCTTATGGTTTTCATCTAAATATGCTGAGCCAGGGTTCAGAGAAGATTTGGATATTAAGCAATTAGACACTTTTCTCTCTACCCTTTTAATGGCTACTTTCGGTTTCTCTATTGAGCATTAAAATTCACTTTTTCCTCTGTGTATTATTCCTTGTGTCCCTCTGCTCTAAGGGGAGCATGCAACAGCAAGGTGGGGAAAAGTAGCATGTTCTGCTGGCACCCAGGTGCCTCTGTCACTTCTGTGGACTTTAGTAGTTTCTATATAAAAGAAATAGAAGAGAAAAAGATATGTACAAGATCCCTGTTTTGAGGAATTCTTGCTCTAATGCTTACAGACAATGCAATGAGTGCTACAATCCTAAGCTGCACTGGGAAGGGAGTAGAGGCCTAACAAAACAAGGGAAGCGGTGACTTTGGGGATAGTTTGGGACCTTTTCCATGAACACACACCTTGGACTGCAATCCCTTGAGCTGTCATGTTATATTAACATCTTTGATGTTTTTCCCCTACACTCAGACCAGAACAGACCATATACAGAAGGGGCCAAGAGGTATTTACTGAGAGCAATGCAGGTCAACACAGATGAGGGATCTACTCACCCAAAAACCTCTTTAGCTCATGATAGCCAAGGGAGGTGGTACCTGATGGCAGCAGACAGGGAAGGATGTGAAATGTATTTTTATGAGGCCTTCCATGTGCTTAAGCTGTTATTGGGCAGGTGCAATTTTTAAACATGCATGAAACCCAAATTACAGATTCATCTTTACAAAGTTATTCGACTTGGAAGGTTTAAGAAAAACTCCCCCCTCATTGGTTCTTGCAAGTGCAACAGAACTAGTACACAATGTAGAAAAATACTTTAAAAGGATACATCAGCTGTTTTTTATCACCTAATTTCCTTCAAATGTAATGTGATTAAATCCTAGTTTTTTTTTTTTTTTTATTAATCTAACACCTTGAAACTCCAGCCCGGTACTTAGGAATTATTTATAAACAGCGTCATAAAAGAGTGCTCGGGTGCCAACACTAATCAACTTCTTCAAACCACTTCAAAGAAAATCAAAAAACCTTTCCATCCACAGATCCTTTTGAGGTTTAACTAGGAGCATGATTTAAAATTCACAAGAAAACCCTTAGGTATTGAAGCTTTAATACACAGCTTTCTTGGACAAACGTTTGATAAAAAACGAAACATACCATTATATACACCATATCATGCTTTAATATTGCCCAGGGCTACTGTAAATGCTCACTTTGTACTAAATCTGGTTTTCTCTCTGCTTAGTGGCTGGCAGCAGATGGGGCAGTGTAATTCACTGATTTACTCATTTGCACTCTTGTAAGACTCTTCTAAAGCATTTTCCCTAAACATATGACATAAGGGCACAACCAGGACACCACTGTATGTAATGTTTAACCTCTTCAACTCAGCAAATAATCACTATTAAATACTCGAGGTCTGTGCGAACGGGTAATTGAAGCTTGAGAAATCTGAAGAAAATAACCTTTTATTCAGTGTAAAATTATATTTCATTTCATGTTTAGTCTTGATGAAATGTTGCAGGGTTTACTCTTCCAAGCTGTTTTAAGATTTAACATCCAAAAGTGATTTTGGTAATAACAAAATTAATCCTGGAATAATGCAAAAGACCAGCTGGACTTAGAGCTCTCTAAGTCCAGAAGGGTCTATGATTAATATCAATGCAACAAAATTTACTTAAGTTATAAGGGAAATCCTTTGCCAAACAGGAAAAGTGCAAAGTGCACAATGAACATTCCTGCAGAACTTTGCTATATTTCTTCAGAGTATGATTGTAAAAGAAGAATTCACAAAAATGTCACTTGGATCCCGAGAGCTTATTTAGTAGCACAAACCAGGATAAAATACACAAAACTGACATTTTTGTACTAAAGAACTACCAGCGTTCAGGAGGTTGGTTTTTTTTTTTTTTTTTTCCCCCCCCCACAAGCTTGCTTTTTTTTTTTTTTTAAAAAAAAAAAAAGGAGAATCACATGAAAGAACAACAGCACAGAGGCTTGAGTACGAACACTTTACCACCTATTTGACCTAGGAGCTTTTTGAGACAGTTGTAAGCTATAATCATCATTATCCTGTTTATATTTTTAAGCATGCTTTAGGTTCTATTATTAATTTAAAACATTTTCTAACTTCACACCTGGGATAGATGCAATGCTTCTCTCTGTTTGAAATTTTCTCTGGGGCTAAAACTGTCTAGCAAAGCAAGATCATGAAAATTCATTGCTTTACTGATGGCTCTAATAAGGTTTTTTCTTCTAAATAGTCAACACCTTCTGTCATGATCAAAAAGTAAAATCAACTCTGCTACAGATTTCTGTTACATTATTTTCCATATAATTTATCTTTAAAACAACATTTAGGCTTTAATTTTAATTGGACTTCCTTCCTTCTCTTACTAGGATTTTCCAGACCAAAAAAGAGACAGCGTTTTCCGTTGACAAACAGTTGCTGTAGTTCTAGCGTTAGCCTCTAAGTGCTGAAGTCACAAAACAGAAACCTGCCTAATTCTGCTCAAATAACACTGTGGAGCTAAAGGACAAAGCTCAGTGTGATGGGAAGAAATTTTACCAGCCCTCTATCAAACTGCACAAAATTCTTCGGCGTGTTTTCCATGGGTTTATAAAACAGACTGATTACTCATGCTGCCCACAGCAAAACAGGCTGGACGCAATTTGCAGGATTTGATTTTTTTTTTTTTTTTTGGATATTTAGCAGCATTTCAGTCGATGATCATCTGATCATGACCACTAAGTATAAAGAGCTCACAGCACCTCTAGTGATAGTGATTTCATTGATGCTGCAGCAGAACTTCCATAATGGTTTACTATGGTTTTAAAGAAACATCAAAGCAACATGACACCAGCTATTCCTGACAGCTCATGCAGAACAAAAATTATAGTTCAGTTGTGCATATCCAAATATAATCTGCCTAAGGGTGAACAGTTTGTAAATCAAATAATTTGATTGAGTGTACATGCTTTTATTGTGCAGAATACTGACTTCCTATTCAATTTACCAGGTTTTGTTACACATACAGTGAGGCACGCTCACTGTTCCTCATCTGAGATGCCACTGAGCTGTGGAACTCATTAACAGCAGCTACTAACTAACTAATCAAAAAACAGAAAAGCTGCCAGCCCAGGTAGAATGGGAAACCAAATTTACACCTGACAAAAGGAGTAATTAGCGAGCTTAAAGACAACAGGAAATATCAGATGGGGCACAGAATGCATTAATAATTGATACACTAGAACTCTTTGTTATTCCCTTAGAGGGTTTCATTGTTGTAACTGTTAAAGTGCATTTTTTATTAGATTATCCACTAAAAAAGAAATTAAAAAGCATCTTACCTATAACTATTCCAAAATGCTCTTTTTTTTTTTCCTCAAGACGTGGTCTGAAAGTTTTATCTATCATTTGCCAATTGAGCTGCAGCCTCACAACAGCTGTTTACAAATAATGAGTTGATCTACTTATGGTCTCTCAGTTTTCACTTACCATCATCATTGTTTTGCTTTAAATAGTTTATCATATACTGAATGGGCTCCTCTGGCTTATGAATTAATAAATCTTCAAGCATGCTCTGAAAATACATAGGATTGAATCAGAAGAGAACTCAGTATAGCTACATAATCACAATACATTCATTTTTACAGCAATATTAAAATGTGGTTGTAAAAGAGCTTATACAGGCTAATTCATTTTCTTATGTCCCTTTGCCTAAGTGAAATAGAGAATACAGAACCTATTTCAGAAGCTGAAACATTGACACAAAACATGGTGAAAAATTTGCCAGAATGAAAAAATAACCTACTGCTTTAGCTTATATAGGATATATACAATCCCCAGAAACATTTGGCTTAAGTGGTTTGGTGCATGTAACAGTTAAGTCAGTGTTAACACTAAAACTAAAGAAGACGCCTCAAGAACAGGGTCAAATTAGTGTCTCTTCAGAGCAAGTTAAACCTCCTTCTCAGGCCTCGATGCTTCCAGAAGGGAAGAGATGTGTAAAAAACCACACAAATCCAAGCAGAAGCACCACATCTCACGTTCTCTTTTAACCTTGCTGGTTTTCTTCCTACCTAA